CCCCCACCTCCCTACAGGGGAAACCAGACTGAACCCAGGGCCTCTGCACCGAGCTGCATCCCTAGCCCTCTCCCTAAATCACTAAATTGCCCAGGTTGGGATTGAATTTGTGATCCTCCTGCCTCAGCCTCCCATAGTGCTGAGATTACAGGTGTGTGCCCCCATGTCTGGCTACAAGGACACTCCTAAAGATTTATCACAGCAAACACTAAAAGTAAAAAGCAAAGAGGGCAAAATTTTTGACTCTGGACTCTTTAGTATGCTAAAGGTCTGATGCTTTCGTTTGTTTGTGGCTTGGCGTTGGGGATCAAACCCTGTGCCTAATGTGATCTAATATGTATGTATGTATGTATGTATGTATGTATGTATGTATGTATTTTTTGGTACTGGGGATCAAACTCAGGCCCTTTCACTTTCGAGGAAGGTGCCAGAACCACTGAGCTAAATCCCCGGCCCTAATTTTCTAAAACTAACCTGAATATGCAACTCATTAAAAAAGGAAACACAAGCTAAATCCAAAGCTATGGGACAACCTATGAGTGGTTAATTAGCCACTTCTCCCCAAATTTCAAGATTTAATCTGACCCACATCCAGGTGGATTATTCATTCAACTCAACTGTCCCATTTTATCTGGAAAACAAATGCACTTAAGAGCATTTGAGATTCTGAACCCTTCTTGCTAACACAACTAAAATAGGTCAATTTCAGAAAAGCACTCACTTCAAGGGGACTTTTGGCTTTGGTTATTTTGAAACTGACATTATGGGGCCAGGGATTTAGTTCAGTGGTTCACCGCCTGCCTCACAGGCTCAAGGACCAGAGTTCACTCCCCGGTACCAAAAAAAAAAAAAAGAAGAAAGAAACTGAAAATATGAAGCTTAAAAAATAAGCCTCCCCCAAGGATCAAGGACTAAAATACCCACCCCTTGTTTCCTTATTCTTTTTTCACTTAGCCATTTATGACGATGGTGGTTTCTACAGGGAAACTTTTCCAAACCCTCAGTTTACTACACGAAAACAAAAAGAAAAAATTTTTTAGAATATTGGGTAACACCACCAAATTCAATACTGAGGAAAGTTGGAAATTTTTCAAACTAGTAGGCATTCCAAATGAAAACATATACTACAGACACAGACACACAGACACACACTCTGCAAGAGAGCTGGGCAAGCTCAGCCCCTCCTTCCCGCCCCTCCTTCTGCTCCAACAGCCCCCTCCCCTGCTGGGCCTGGTCTCCCCATTTCTCAGAGGAAAGGACAGCGCTCTGCAGGGTCCCCTCATCCAGCCCTACCCTGTTCTGCTTCCTACTCCTGGCTCCTGGGGCAGAACAGCAGAGTCCCTGACAGGAAAATCCTAGGAACTTCCTATTCCTGAATGCCCCCCAAATATGCACAATGGCCTCAAGAGGAAGTCAAGGTGAGAATGTCCAAAGCTTTGCAGATGTCACTAACATATCCAGAAACACATCTATATTCAACCAAAAAGTACCAGATAAAGGAACTTAAAGCTATAGGATATAAATAACTCATACAAATCAAATCATAATCAAGATGAAAAATACAGGGCCTGGGACGTAGCTCAGTGACACTGTGCCTGCCTCCCAAGTGCAAAGTCCTGAGTTCAATCCCCAGTACAAAAGAGAGAAAGAGAGAGAGACAGAGAGAGACAAAGGAGATGAAAAATACAAATTAAAAAATACAACAACATTAAAATAATAAGTAACATATTAAGTCAGAATACAAGAAAATTATTTGGAAGAAACTATCACATCATCATAGAATACATGCAAAGATATCATATGAAAATTTTAGTTTTCTTTAACCATATCTAATTTTTAAAAATACTAATAAAACTACATAGAGTAGGGCTGGGGATTTAGCTCAGTGGTGCCACCGCCTGCCTCGCAAGTACAGGGACCTGAGTTCAATCTCCGGTACCAAAAAAAAAAAAAAAACACTACATAGAGTAGCCAGCTGTGGGAGCACACACTTGAAATTCCAGCATGGGGGAGGCTGAGGCAGGAGAATTCCTGTGAGTTCAAAGCCAGCTTACACTACAAAGCAAGACCCTGTCTCAAAAAAACCTACAGAGTAGATTACAAAGAAACTTGAGAATTAAATCAAAATACCACAAATATTAAGTAAAAGTAAACCTGAAAACCTTCTGGGCATGCTAGTATACGCCTGTAATCCCAGCACCAGGGAGGCTGAGGCAGGACTGCCATGAGTTCAAGGCCAGTCTGGACTACACAGTGAATTCAAGCCTAACCTGAATGACACTGTGATGCCGTGTTTCAAAAAATAAAAGTGGGGCCAGGGATTTAGCTCAGTGGCGCCACATCTGCCTCACAAGCATAAGGTCCTGAGTTTGATCCGTAGTACTGCAAAACAAAAACAAAAAACAAATAAAGTAAACCTTAAAAACCTGAACAAGTATGTAAATAAGTATTATTTAATAAATTCCAGTAGCATAGAACTCACTGTAGAGAAAAAAATAACCACATCTCACACCAAACACAACTCCACATGGGATAGAGTTAACCATATAAGGAGAGAAAAGGCCAGCCAAGGAGGAAGCTACATACCCTAGCTAGGTGTGGAGAAGTGACAGACCTCTAAAATGCCAAAAAAAGTAGACCGTCCCATGCAAGACATGCTTTTGAGAATTACAAAAAAAACTTAATATTGGGGCTGGGGATTTAGCTCAGTGGTTCCAAAGCCTGCTTCGCAAGCACAAGGTCCAGAGTTCAATCCCTGGTACAAAAAAACCCCCCAAACGAAAAACTTAATATTAAATGCAATGGGACAATGTAACCACATAAAATATGAAGCACATAAAAACTATTAGAAATACCTATTTAAAAATGATCAGAGGGGGAAAAGCTTGGAGTTGCATTTCCCAAAGGTTCTTCAGTCCCAGACACCTGTACCCTACCTCTCCAGCTTCATCTCTGACCGTGCGGACCACCAACTCGCCCAGGCACTGCGTGGCTCCTACAGTAGCCAAGCTCCCACTTATGTGGGGCTGCTCACCCTGCACCCTCTTCCTGCCACGCCCCCCAGGGAAATCCTAGCCACCCTGCAAGACCAGTTCCGGTGTCACCTCCTCTTGACACAGCCAGCATGACAACGCCTTCTTTGCACCCCTTCTTTGGGGCACTTCCCCCACTCCCCGTGAGATGGGAGACCCTCGGAAGCAGAGAAGAGCTTCTTCATCTCTGAGAGGCCTCGCTGCAGCTCCCAGCAGTGCCTCACAGCCAGTACGCATCCAATAACAGTAAAGGGAAATAGGGAGATAGTGAGAAGAATTCCACTTCAAAAATACAGCTAACGTTAAAGGAAAGCAAACCGTCTTTAGAGACACCCTCATAACACCTATTAATCTATCAAAAAACATTAAACTTTCATTGGAGAATCCTGAGGCTTGAGGAAATAGCTGAAATACACAATTTTAATTGGTTCAGCCTGTTTTTGAAACACATTCGTTAATATGTAACAAGGGTGGTAGCACAGTTCACTGCCTTGATTTAGTGGGTGAATTCATGTGAAAGCAAAATAAAATAAATTGGTTCAAAATCCATTTGCCAGAGCACCAGTAAGTAAAAATCTGGAAATCACCTAAATTAACCAACCATTTGCTCAGGCAGACTTTCTCATATTCTACTCTTCATCCAACGGAAATGCTAAGTGTGAGGACTATGTCTGTGTATAAAAACGGGGTACTCAGCCACTGATCCCAACTAATGACTACCACAGAACTCACCAACATTAAGCGTGTGATGCCTGGGGTTGTTTCTTTAAAAGGTGTGAATGCAGGGCAGTTTCTAAAGCCTTGTCCTTCAGAGAGAGGGCGAAGATCTTTCTGCCTGGCCCACTGTGTCTTCAGCCCTGAGTCACCTCTGCTTGTCCCTTCCTGACAGCAAAGCAGGTCACCAAGAGTCACACAGCTCCACGGAGGAACTGGATGTGGGATAACCACTTCTGGAACCCGGCTGTGCCTCTGCCAGGCTTCAGAGGACATCTGCTACTTTACAACAAAACGCTGTTCTCCAGGGGGAGCTGGCTGAGCGGGACAGGTATGCGAGCCTGCCTCCCTCCTTCCAGGCAGCTCTCCTGGGACTCAGTGTCAGGAAAAAGGCCAAGAAGAGCACACACGAACTCAGGGGCAGCAGGACAGCCAAGATGGTTTCAGGAAAGGAGCAAGAGGAACAAAGCAGGGACTCTAGGCTTCCTTTCCAGGCTTGACAGAGAGGGACCCTCTGAGCTCACCTCCTCCAGGTGTGGAAAGACCCACCCCCTCCACCTGTGCTCCTGTGGAAGTGACAGAAACAACTCCCATTCACACAGGAAAATCAAGCAGCAAGGCTCTGCCCTGAGTTCAATAGTTCTGATTTTCTCAAGCCAACTGGCAATGATCAGCTGCATCAAGACAAGAGTGCTCTCCAGCCCGAGGTCCAAACGGGCATGTTCCCTGGTAATTAAGTTAAGGGGAAAAGATATGGAAGGTATGCTTCATGTGTAAGGAATTAGACAGCAATGCAAGTAAGAAGAGGGGACTCATTAAAAAAACAAGATTATGCAAGGCATGGTGATGCACATTTTGTAGTATCAGCACCTGGGAGGCTGAGACAGGAAGATTTCAAGATTGAGGCCAGTCTGGCCTACACAGTGACTTCAAGTCCAGGCTGGCCTAGACCACATAGTGAGACCTTGTCTGAGGAAAAAAAATGGGGGGGTGGTGTTATATGTAATATGATATTTATTACATAAGAGAGACCAGAAAAACAAAGGAATTTGGGAATGAGAGAGAGCGAATGTGAATAGACATTAAAAAAGGACACAGCTGGGCAAGTTGGTGAACCTGTAATCCCAGCTGCTCGGAGGGTGAAGCAGAAGGATCACAAATTCCAGACAGCCTGGGAAACTTAGCAAAATCCTATTGTGAAATGAAATTTAAAAAGGGCTGGGGATGCAGCTCAGGACTCCCTGGGTTTAATCTGAAAAACAGAATAAAATAAAACAAAATAGGACACAGTCTTGGGATGAATTTTGTTCTTGGGGTACTTTATTTTACCATGAATTTCTGCAAATATACCCCCCAAAATGGAAAGAATAGAGCCAGGCATGGTGGTATGCACCTAAGGTCCCAACTACTCAGGAGGCTGAGGCAGGAAGATGGATTTCACCCAGGCAACACTGGGAGGCCTCACTGCAAAGCCAAGTACCACTTCCCTACCTGCTCTCTTGGACTGAATTCTCTGCTGGATCCAACTGGCTCATTTGGTGGGGATCAGGTTCTATGCATCACTGAAACTAAGTTTTTAGATGGGGGGATTTTTTTTTTGTACAACGATGACAAGGACTCATTACAATGACTCCTACTGTATGAGATACTGTCGCTGCAGTCTGCATTTCTTTATTCTTTGACTAACTGCATGGCAAGCTGTCAGTAAAGACTTTGTCAGAGGGTGGATTTCTAATCTGTTCAGAAAAAAAATTATAGAACCAAGAAGTGATCTAACAAAATAACTAATGTGACATGGACTTGCTCAGAAACGAGGGCTACAGACAGGTGCAGTGGTGCACAGCTACTCGAGCGGCTGAGGCAGGGGGACCACTGGAGCCCAGGAATTTGAGCCAGTCTGGCTAACCAGGGACTATATAAAAACAAAGACCCAGGTGTGATGGTGCACGCCTGTAATCCCAGCACTCGGGAGGCTGAGGCAGGAGGATCACTGTGAGTCTGAGATCAGCCTTGGCTACATAGTGAGTTCCAGGTCAGTCTCAGCTACATAGTGAGACCCTGTTTCAAAAAAACCAAAAAAAAAAAAGGAAAAAAAAAAACCCAAAAAACAAACAAAAAAAAGAAGAACAAGGAAGGCCACTGCCTGCCTCACAAGCACAAGGTGTTGAGTTTGATCCTTGGTACAAAAAATTTTTTTAAAAAAGGAAGGAAGAGAAAGGGATAGGGAGGGTGGGGAAGGGCAAAGAAATGAAGAAAAGATGGACAGGCTATATCCATGGGAGGCAAGCTTTATACTGGGTCTTGAAAGATGGGTAGTATTCATTTATCTCGGGCACTGTGCTAGAGACACTGGGGAACAACAAGTGCACAAGAGCCACAGTCCTGCCTTCATTAAAAATAAAGAGGGCGCACGGGTGTGTGTGTGTGTGTGTGTGTGTGTGTGTGTGTGTAGCTCCACCACACGGGTATGACGATGACAACAGTAACACAAGGACAGTGGCCACGTGATGACAGGATGTGGAGAGGGCGTTTCCCACACAGGAGACCCTGAGCAGACAGGCAGAGGGGAGAAGTGGCCTGCTGGGAGCAAGGTGAGGACAGCTGGGGTGCTGCTCAGTGGAGACCACAGCCAAGTAAATAGGGAAAGGGGACAACCACACCAGACAGGCAAGGCAGACCCAACAGCTACGCCAGTGTCCTCTCTGTGTCTTTCAAAGGAGAGTGGGCCAGGCGTGGCAATGCTCACCTGTAATCTGAGCAATTGGGAGGCTGAAGCGGGAGGACTACTTCAAGTTCAGGCCAGCCTGAACTGCAGAGCAAGATCCTGTCTCGAAAAAAAAAAAAAAAAAAAAAAAAAAAAACAAACAAACAAAAAAAAAAAACCTAAACTCAAAGTGGGAAGGATAGGGAAAAGAAAAATTCAAAAAAAGGAAAAAATGGAAACAAAGTCTTTGTAAATAGGGGAGGGTTGAGGAGGTGAAGGGAGGGCAGAGATATGGGTAAAAAATGAGAACCAAGATCTGTCATGTAAAGGTATAAGATTCCCAATGATGAATATAACTGTACTGTATACTGAAAAAGTACCAATAAACTCAACTTTTAAAAAAAGGGGAAAGTGGGAGGTGTTTACGTTCAAATAAGAGCCCCACGCACCAAGCCAAACCATAATCTTCCCGATTCTCAGGAACTTCTGTCCCCACAGAGCTTCATCCCTCCTGGATGCAGGCTCTGCAGGACCGAATTCACTGACAACAATCTTAAGACAGCAGGACCTTTGAGTTAAAAACTACAAAACTGCATCGCAAGCTGCTCATGAGCATGGCGCTCAGCTCAGAAGAAACATAAGACCCATAAGCACATCGAGGTCCCCTCCCTCGCTGGCCTCTGCCCTCAAACAGATGAACAGACTTACGTCCTTCCGAACCTGCCTGGCAGAACTCCTGATGCAAGAAACAGGCTCACAATGCAGGAAATAGCTCTGATCTCAAGGTTATGAAGCAACAGCTCAGAATCAGAATCAGACACCGCTGATCCCAAGCACAGCCCCTCCTGAGGTTCCTTCAGCATCTGTGGCCTTCAAAGCACGAGTTCAGGCGTCTTGTTTCATCTGCACTGGGCTCCTTCACAGGAAACAGCCCAATGGTTTCACGCGGGTACGAGCTCCTATTGTGTGCTGGATAAAGTTTCACACAGAGAGCAAGGTGAAAAGCAAAGCCCAACCATCGTGACATTTTTGGGGACTGGGGATAGATAAATGCATGCTATCCAACATTAGCTAGTGGGCAGTGCTATGAAGGAAAAAAAAGGGCAAATTAGAGGACAGTGTGCTGTGGTGCTGACTGGAGAATACAAGAGGCCAGTGGGAGAAAATGACGACCTGAGCAGGTAAGGCTCTGAGGCCATCTTGGGCCTTCACAGATAAGGAAACTAAGAGTCACAAAGTTCAAAGGTCCAACGTGGTGGGGCCCACTTGTAATCCCAGTGCTCTGAAAGACTGAGGTAGAAAGATCCCATATTCCAACACAGCCTGGGCAACTTAGAGAGATCCTGCCTCAAAATAAAACACAAAAAGGGCCAATCATGTAGCTCAGTGTGAAGATTCTGGGGTTCAGCTCCCACTGAAAGAAAAAAAAAAGTGCCCTGGCCTGGGGGTGTGGCTTAGTGGCAGACCCTGGTGGGGCATGCACAATGCCCTGATCCTCAGTAGCCCCCAAAATTTTTACTTAAATTTTAAAAGAATAAAGTAATAAAGTAGACTCATCTTGGAAGGAGAAGCAAAGCATCCTAAGACCCAGGATGTTGATCTTTGGTGTTGGGGATGGAATCCAGAGCCTCCCACACTAGGCAAGTTCTGTACCATCATCCTGCTCCTCAGCGCCCCAGTGCACTCCTGAGCAGGGAACTCTCAAGCTCTGAAAGGAGCCATGCAAGGACAGGCTCGGCAGCATGCTCTAAGGCCAGAAGGAGCTGGAAACAACAGTCTGATTCTAGGGGAAAAGATAAGTAACACGTGGTGCCTGTGCACGACTGCCAACGCTGTGACCAAGAGAAGGAACGACCTACATACCCAAGCATTTTGGAGAGCTGGAAACAGTGGC